CACTGGGTCGCCATTCAAATGCTTGGAAAAAGGTAATACTAAGAAAGAAATGAAAGCAGAAAGCCACACAAAAGCTCTGCTACTTCAGCAATGGTTTGGGTGAAGTTGGTTACATATTATTACTTTACAAAAAGACAACGTGAGTACCAAAGAATGCACCAACTTTCTTCAAGGTGCGTTGGTTGACAACTACTACTTTATTGAGTTTTCTCGACGATAGAAGAGCATGTCTGTCTCACTGTGTGTCCTATGGCTACAACAAGGCAATACGACAAAAGTTACCATTGTTTTGAAAGACTCTACTATAATCGAATTTGACTTGATCGCTTTCAAAACTTCTTACTGAGGCAAATTTTCAAGGTAATTGTGGTAGCATCTTGGTACGATGGCCTTCAACTTCAGTAGACGTTTATACTGGTTGGCAATTATCTTCAATCTGTCTTTGCAGAGAGGTCCATCAGTAACCGTCGTACACAGGGTGTTCAGCTTTCTTGGTCCTTGCAGCGCCTACCATCCATCATCAAAGTTCAGCTTGTATGGAATCTTAAAGACTGGAGTGTAATTTGATGCCTGCAAGTCAGTGACGGTAGGATCGTCTGCTTTTCTCCCTGGACGGATTGTGTAGTGCTCTCCGACCTTTTCGAAATCTTTGAAAAAGCTGTGGTCCAGGTACATAACTTCCTAGGGCCTGAGGATGCGTCTGGCTTTGAGCATGATGTTCACGTAGCCCATTGGGATGTACATTAGTGCGTTTTTGAGCGATCGCTCAACAGTGCCAGGGACTGAATCCACTTCCATTTTGGGTATGGCCCTTGGTGAGAATTTCTGCTCAACTGTGATGTCAAGCTCTTTGGCTAGCGAGGTCATTGCACTCACCAGGGTGGCTTTCAGTAGTTGCACCAATCACAGCAGATGATGAAGTGGTTGAAGTCAGTCACTTGCAATATCAGTTAGTGAGTCAGACATGATGAAAACTGTTGAAGCTCAGACCAACTTCACTTTCATACCAGACTTAGCATCTGGCGTCTCTGGTAGCAAGATCCTAAATCGTAAAATTGTGTACAGCCAGTTTTGTTTTATAATATAAAGAGGATGTCTTTAGTGATGAGGCCAGAAGGACGCACTGGATCTCCATACAAAGGACACACACTTTGTTCTCTGAGTTCAATGCAGCCTCCCTGTCCTTCTCCTTCTCTGGTCTAGCTGCAGCTTTCCTCATATTCATATTTGATGAGCTGTGTATTCTGTTTCTGTGAGG